ACACAGAACGGCCCGGGAATGATCTAAATCAAACTCTTCAAAGTCAAAGCAATGTCCATCTGCCACTCTCTCTGCTTTTGTGATGACAGGTGGAAGAACCTGTCTGCCTAGCCCAGGGAGTGGCCCTGGGGATTCAGCCTTGGCTCAGGATAGGGAGGGTGGCCTCAGAGTCAGCCAGATTTGCTTGTGAGTCTTGACCCAACTGCTTACCAGGACAGAGAGAGTCTGGGATGGCTCATCACACCATCAGTGGCCGGAAATACTGGATGAGTGCCCGTGGGTTCCTGACTCTCACTGAGCCAGAAAAGCCATGAATGTCACCAAGACCTCCAGCCTTTTCCTCACCGACTGCTCAGAGGCTTGATCATGCCTGCCCAGCTGCTCTCTGGCATAGCAGCCCTGTCCTCTGTCACCTTGACTCATTTTCCCAGGTGTTGAATCACGGAGATCTCCTGTGCTCTTAAAACAGGTACCCGATACCTTTGGCTCTTAGTCCTGGGAGGGAGGTGGCCCAAAGTTCCCTGACAGACAGGAGGACCCCAACAGCAGCGGCGGCTGGCTCTAAAAGCAACCGTGGGCGGAACTTGGCAGGTCTCGCTGGAAGTCTGCTGGGGTGTCAGGGTTGCACACCCTGTGTCCCCAGAATGAGATCACCTTCCCAGCTGTGGCAGGCAGTGGTACTGCAGGGCAGTGGCCAGGAGTCTTTCTGAGGTCCTGCAAGCCACTTCGGTCTGGCAAGCCCTACTCCCAGTAAAGCCGACGGCAGCGCCAAGGAGCCTTCTGGGAATAGAATTTACTTCCTAGCTTCTAAGCTGCAGAATGGCCAAGCAAGGCTCTGAGACCAGTCTGGGCACTCTGGACCCCACTGCAGCCAGAACTCTGTGTTCAGTGTCTGCTGTTGTTCTGAATTCACAGTGCTGGGAGTGGGAGAGGGGGAGGCAGGGGCCCTACACTGAGCCAGCCCCCAGTCTTTACTGTCTGCTTTCATTTCACTGTTTGTCTTAAAGTTGGAGTCCATGGAAATTGGGACCGGCTGAGAATGAGCAGCCATGACCCACTCTGGCCTCAGCCAAGCCGAGGGAGCACTCTGGTATTGGAGCAGAGATGGTCCTCCCCCAGCTGGGAGGACCAGAGAGTTGGGCTACTGCAATCTCAGCCCCTCCAGGGAATTTGATAAGATCGCTCCCAGGCCCCAGTGGCAATCACCTTCATTCTAGTTACTGGGATATCATTTGCATATGAGAACGAGATGTGGGTGTCCTGTGCTTCTGAGTTAGACCTCAGGAATCCTTGCCTGTCGGTACCTTGCCTGGAGGTCCCCTCACTGATAGAGATATGGGCTCACCATTTAAACCTGCTGGGTACTCATTTGTCCAGTCTACACATATTTGTTAAGGGCCTGCTCCATTCCTGGCACAGTGTGCTGGGAGCCAACGCATTATAGCAAGGCAGACAAAAGGTGCCTTTCTCGAAGTTGAAATTCAAATGCAGGGGACCAGGGAGCCAAAATGAGGATGTCGCAGACTGAGATGGTGGCATCCATCTGTGGGGAAGAATGAAAACTGAGCAGAGGCTGTTACAGGCTGTCACGTCGGAGTGGCCTTTCCTCCTGAGCATGCCTTTTAGTGGTTTTGCTATGGTGCCCATCTATCCCTCATGCAGTGGCCAGGATGTGCTTCCATTTTCTTCTCTGGAGCCACATCAGCCTGAGGAAGAACATGGAAGGATTGGGGATCAGTGTGGCCCATGGATTGTTGTAGGGCGCCAAGGCGCCACAACCCTGCCGTCATTTCCTGCCTCTCAAGCAGCTTCCCGAATGGCGCGATCCAGCCGCCAATCATGAGCTGACTCGTAAGATCAGGAGCGGCCAGAGCCATTCAGACATAGACACGTCTCAGGCTTTGTTCTGCACGGCTTATAAGCCGTGCGTGCCAGGGTCCGGGGTCTTTCGCCATCAACCTCAAGTTGTGCGCTCCCAATAAAAGTACGCTCTGAGAAGAATCTTGTTGTGGTCGTCTCTTCTGCTGGCGGACGCAGCGTGCCACTGATTGTCATTATTCTGTGGCCCAGAATCTATAAGTTCTACAGAGTTTTGACTCTCTCCTTGCCTCCCTCTGTGTGTGTGTGTGTGTGTGTGTGTGTGTGTGTGTGTGTGTGTTGCATGCATGCATTTGCATAGCTGTGTATGCCTATGTATACGGTAGGAAGGCCGGAGGAGGATGACAGGTGTCCCGCTCTATTGCTGTCCACCTTCTTCCCCTGAGACAGTGTCTCGCACTGAACCTGGAGCTGGACTTGCAGTCAACAAGCCACAGTGATCCTCCTGCCTCCACCCTCCAGGTCCTAAAGTTACAGGCACACATGGCAGAGTCTGTTTTTTTTTTTTATCTGGGTCCTGGGGATTTGAACTCAGGTCCTCACACTTGTGCAGCAAACACTTGCTGACTGAGCCATCTCCCCAGCCCCCACTGTCTTCTTTTGGTATCCCCTTTTAGATAAGCCCACCTCAAGCTCTCAACCCTAAAATAGGTGTCCCACCGTGGGCACCTCACAGAATCAAAATGCCCACGGCTTCCTTAGATTAATCCGTCTCTTGTTTTTCTAGGCGGATCCACAAGGGAAGGTTTTAGCCTGACAACTATGTACGAGTGTGCCCAGTGTCTCCCCAGTAACCCCAGGTGATCCCCTCTTTCCTCTGCTAACAGGGCATTTTAAAGCCTAGACAGAGCAGCGCCTGTGTGTCAGCAGGTTGCCTCAAACATGCGATGGGCGGGCAGGTCTAGCACGGGGGTCTAGAGAGCAGCCTGTCAGAGCCAAACACCCGTCTCTGCGCCCACCCCAGGCCGCTGCTTGTTAAGGACATGCTGAAGGCTATGTGGCCCAAATCGTCTAAGCATAAAATTAGCTTCTGTGTCTATTCTGCAAGGGAAAGCAAACTGGGCTAAATATACCACAGGGCCATGGGTGATCAACAAGCCAGATATGAGACAAACAGCGGGCCAGTGGGAACTGACTTTCCCAGGGGCCCGTGGGTTGGAGACCGTAGGTTCCATAGGCAGCTGCCAATGAACTTACAATCCTGCCAGGGTGTAGCCCTGACAATTGAGTGCTTGTCCAGCATAGGAGGCCTTCCAGCCTCAGCACCATGTAAACCAGATGTGGTGCCACACACCTGTCATCCCAACACTCGGGAGGAGGAGACGGGGGGATCAGAAGCTCAAGGTCATCCTAGGCTATATAATAAATAGGAGATCAGAGTGGGATTCATGAGACCTTGTCTCAAACAATGTAGCAAGCATCCTGCGTGTGTGACAGGCTAGCCCTTCTGATCATACTGCAACCGTCTGTGCTCTATACACCATGAACACACACATACACTCATGCCTTCCATGTTCCTGTGTTCATAGGGCACCTGCACATGTAAGCATTCATGTGTGTTCACGCACACCCAGATCATGCATTCACACACATGCATATGTGCCTGTATGTATATAGGCATGCATGTATATGCCTAGACACACACACACATGCCCACGCACACACCTGTGAATTCTGTATGTGGCCATCACACCAATGAAACTTCCCTTCTTTGAAGCTTATTTTAAGCCCCAGCCTGAGCTTGGACCCCTGCTGCCCAGATCCACAGGTCACACATCCCTTGTCTCTGCTTCTGGAGTGTCCTCACCTTCCTCCCCCCAGGCACCTGCAGTGTCTCCCATGCAACTCTCAGGTAACCAGATGCACCAGAAATATTTACTGGGTGGAAAAAAAAAAAAAAAAGAAGGCGCGGACCTCAAGCTGAGAGAGAATGTTGTCCTAGATATTTTTAGAGTGACTTTTAACAAAGCGGAGAGTTTCAGATGAAAGTGAAAGTTTCACAAGAAAACATCTTGGAGGCATCTTGTTTCAGACTCCCTGATCAGCTGTGCTTTTAGAAAGGTCGGAAAGAATGCAGAGTTGAAAACAGGGCCTGTCCATCTCAGCGCCTACTGGGCAATCCTGCTTGGCCATGTTTCCTATTCCCCCCCACACCCCACACCCCCTGACCGAAGGGTGGACATACTGGGACCGTGTCCTCTCCTCCTCCATGACCTCCAAGTCTATCCTAAACTACAGCTCCCGATGCCTTGCCTCGGGGCTCCGTCAACCACGGAGGTTTCTGGAATTCCAGCTCCCATGCGCTGGGTCTTTGAGCTGCTTCTTCGGAAGAGGGATCTGTTTGTTTGTTTGGCTATTTGGTTTGGTTTTGGGTTCTCCTGAACGCGGAAGATGAGGCCATGCAGACTTCTGCCTCCTTTCTGAAGTGAGGAAAGATGGAACCACTTATGTTTCTGGATAATCCCAAGCTCTCCATCCATTTCAGTGGACATGCACACACTCAGTTGAGACCGTGCTGTGTGGAGGGCTGAGACAATGAAGAGGCCAACAGGAGGGACAGGGTATGTCCCCAGTAGCTATGGGGCATACACAAACACCAGGAAGGGAGGGGGTGACATGGTAACCACAGAGGTACAAGAAAGGGCAGACCAAGGTAGTAAGGCCAGAGGCTCTGTGCATCCTTCTAAGAAGACAGATTTTCTCTTCCAAGACTATAGGGAGCCAGTGAGGGTAGTATATACTGACCCTAGTAGGCTTACTGGATGGAAATCATTAACTGCTGCAGTCCCGTGTCTCCCCCACCCCAGTGACTGTGATGTTACTGACCATGACCAAATGATGCCGTCTCCCCATTCCCCCCCTCCCCCGCCAAGCTCTCCTAGCAGAGATGTCATCAGACCACACTTCATTAAACCTCACAGCAGGTTTCGGTTGCTCCCAGCACTGACCTCAGTGGCCTCCTGCAGGGGCAAATTTGGTTTTCCCTTTTAGCAGAGGGGTGGTGGCTGGAACATCTGGAATGTATTAGAGGTAAGGCCAGGGGCCAGGGTGGAGCCTGGTAGCTTCACATAGAACCTCTCCAAATCAGAGCTATTAATCTCCCTTCCTCTCTCCTCTCTCAGACCTCTATCTGCCCAGTCCACCCAGAATGCCCGGCATTTGAAGAGAGTCATCGCCTGAGTATCTGCTGAGGATTTTTTTTTTTTTTTTTTTTTTTTACTGTGGCGTCAAAGAGTTTCTTTGGTGTGAGGAAGGAGCGTCTGTCACCAATACGGTTTTGTAATTTCCTCTTCTAGCTTTGAGCCGGGTCTTGCCCCTTTCTGCTACCATGATGGCCCAGTCCAAGGCCAACGGCTCACACTACGCGCTGACGGCCATCGGCCTGGGGATGCTGGTCCTCGGCGTCATCATGGCCATGTGGAACCTGGTCCCTGGCTTCAGCGCTGCGGATAAGCCAGCGGCGCAGGGCAACAAGACAGAAGGAGGCAGTGGCATCCTCAAGAGCAAGACGTTCTCGGTGGCCTACGTGCTGGTTGGTGCGGGCGTGATGCTGCTGCTGCTGTCCATCTGCCTGAGCATCCGGGACAGGAGGAAGCTGCGGCAGAGCGAGGAACTGGCCCATATCCAGCAGCAGGCGGGAGCTGTGCCTCCCACGCAGGAGGAAGACAGGTGAGGCATGCCCGGCTGCTCCCTCCAGCCCAGGGGAGTCTGCATTTCCACTCTCCTCCAGGAAGGTACCTCATACCCTTTCACAAATACTTTCGTGCTTACTAGATACAGGCTTCCCGATTCCTGCGGCTGAGGTGGATTACAAGGTGTCCCACAGAAACGGGTGGGGACCGGGGCTCTAGGTTGCTTGCTTGTCTCTCTGTCCCAAGTGCTGTGTGTGTCTACTTTGATTTGAAAAGATCACAGTACAGTATTTCACTTGGCCCCAAAATATCACAAGCATATTTATTTATTTATTTATTTATATAATTTATTTTTATTTTATTTGCATTGGTGTTTTGTTACATGTATGTCCGTGTGAGAATGTCAGATCTTGGAGTTACAGACAGTTGTCAGCTGCCATGTGCGTGCTAGGACTTGAACCCAAGTCCTCTGGAAGAGCAGTCAGTGCTCTTAACCACTGAGCCATCTCTCTAGCCCCTCACAAGCATATTTAAAAGGTAGATGACAGACAGGGGTGGGGGGTATGTGATAAAATCTGGCATCTCTCTTAAGGTTCATTTCTGTGGCTATGATTAAAAACACTCTGACGAAATCAGCTTAAACGGAAAAGGATTTATTTGGTTCACAATTCCAGACCACTGTTCATCATTTCAGGGGAGCCGAGGGGGCAGGAGCTTGAAGCAGCTGGCTGCCTCACCCCACTGTCAAGAGCAGAGAGCAATGAGTTAATGTATACAGACCCTGGCTCTCCTTTGCATCCAGTCTCGGCCCCACGAAATGCTACCACCCATATTCAGGGTGTGTCTTCCCACCCCCATTGGCATAATCAAGGTAGCACTCACACCACACATACACACACACACACAACACACACACACACACACACACACACACAACATGGACAGACACCAACATTCTCAGATGCCAGTCCCCCAGCTGATTCTAGGTTGTGTCAAGCTGAGGACTACTCAAAGCTAGCCCAGCGCCTATACTCGATGTACTTTTCATTGCTCTGACCAAATGCACAGAGTTGGCTTAAGGAAGGGTTTATCCCGCCTCTCAGTTTGAGTCTAGGGTCCATCGTGGAAGGGAAGGTGCGGCTGCAGGGGCCTAGGATGACCCGTGATATTATGTGGGAACTCAGGAAGCAGAGAGAGATGAAGGCTGCTGTTAAGTTCACTTTCTCCTTCCCCCCATTTCATCCACACCCTGCCCTGGATGGTGTTGCTCACATTTAAGTCAGAGGGGATCTTCTGTACTCAGTTAAACCACTCTGGAAACACCCTTGGTCTCATCCTGCATGTCTTTGGACTTGACCTGGCCTGGGGCCACAGGGAATAAAGAAATGCAAACCCAAGTAAAGCTGGTATAAGGTGGGTGGTGCACTCAGATGGAGAGGCACCAGCAACAGCCAGGAAGCTCACCATATTAGGGGTTCTCTCTAGGGGAGTAGCTTTACACTGTAGTCATCTGGGGTGGAAGCTGTAGTCGGTACTTTCTGCTCCTACTGGTCGACCCTAGATCTGGGACATTGGCATCCTCAATACGCCCTGCCCATGTCAACAATACACATTGACTCGGGGCTTCATGCATTCCCTACAACCCTCACAGATATCCCAGAGATGTGTCTCCTAGGTGCTTCCAAATCTCAATATGGCAATGAAGGTGAGCCCCTCCCCGCACCGCAAAAGAGTCCTTGTGAATAAATACGGAAGATGAACATCCTAGTTTGAAAACAGACAAAGGCCATAAACAATGATTTCATAGGCGTTTAACCTCATTGATCCTAGATCCTAGGATATAAACAAGACACTTTCTACTCCAAGCTCTGTCACTTCTATTAGCCAGGACAGGCAGCCTCTGGCATCGGAGAATTGCAAGGGCGGTGAGCTATGGACATAATGGGGCTAGCAAAATGGTTCAGGGGGTTAAGGAGCCTGCGGCTAAGTTTGACAACCTAGATTTGATCCCTGCAACCCACATGAAAACTGCCTTTGACCTTCATATGTGTACGATGACACAAGCACATGAGTATTCACACTCAAATAGAAGACAGACAGACAGATGAAAAAGCTAAAATAGGAGAACTTAGAAAACAACCTAATTGTTTTATCCACCAATCAAGTGACCTCGGGATGTACCCGTTCCTGTGGTTCTTCCAGTCACAGCTGTGTCCTTTAATGTGGAGCAGTTCCCACAACACTAAGAAGGAAAATGGTAGTGTATGTAGCCTTTAGAAAGGCCCCAGCACATCAGACACTGTGGGAGGGGGCTAGAGAGGTTCAGTGGGAGACAGACAGACCACAGTATTTATTCACCATGATCGCCTCTGGGTGGGAGAATTAGGTGTTTGACTTTGTTTTAGGAAATGAAGATGGAAGGATTTGCAATGCTTCTATTTTCTTCCCTTGGAATGTCTATAAAGCAAGGAAGGAAGTTGGCCTCATTCTCATTCTCTCTCTCTCTCTCTCTCTCTCTCTCTCTCTCTCGTAGACAGAAGTTTCTCTCCTGTCTGCTTCCACAGCCATTCAGTCCCAACAAAATACATGGAGGTTTATATTAATTATGAACTGGTTGGCTTATTAGTTCAGGCTTATTATTAACTAGCTCTTACAACTTAAATTAACCCATAATTCTTGTCTGTTTTTAGCCATGTGACTTGGTACTTTTTAATCAGTGAGGCATTCCCATTTTGCTTCCTCTGCCTCTGACGGGTGACTGCAGACTGAATCTTTCCTCTTCCTAGAATTTAGTCTGGTCGTCCAGCCTATACTTCCTGCCTGTCTACTGGCCAATCAGCGTTTTATTAAACCAATACAAGTGATAAATCTTTACATGGTACAAGAGCATTATCCCACAGCACTCTCTTAACTTTTTCTTTTTCTTTCTTCCTTCCTTCTTTTCTTCCTTCTTTCCTTCCTTCATTCCTTCCCTTCTTTCTTTTCCCCTTGGTTTTTTGGAGGCACCATGTATCCTTGACTAGCCTGGAACTTACTATGTAGACCAGGATAGCCTCAAACTCATAGAGATTCACCTGCCTCTTCCTCCCTAGTACTGAGATTAAACCATACCCTGGCCTCATTTTCTGGCCATCAAAATATACACACAGGCCAGGGGTGCACTACATTGGTAGAGCACTTGCCTACATGGGTGCAGCCCAGGGTACCATACCCACTACAGAAAACAGAAATATATATGATATTTGCTATGTTAGTGTTAGTCCTCCCCACAAAAAATGCAGAGACAGCTACCTGCTACTGAATGACAGGGACACATTCTGAGAAATATGAGGTCAGGGTCAATTTTATACAAATTGAGGCAGCTACTGTGTTACTAGGTGATACAGCCTATGAGATCAGCACCCAGTAAGCTGTCCCTTGTTGAGCCAAATGTGATCCTATAAGGGGTACATGAATGTATCTGTAATTAAGAGAAGGAGAAGCTAGGGATGTAGCTCAGTTGGCAGAGAGCTTGCCTAATACTCCTGATGTCCTGGTTCAGCCCCCAGCACCACCACATAAACCAGTGGTACACACCTATAATCCCAGTACTTTGAAGGCAGAGGTAAGATGTTCAGAGGTTCAAGGTCATCCTCTACTACATGGGGAGTTCAAAGCTAACTTGAGCCACTTGAGACCTTGTCTCCAAAAGAAAGGGAGAGAACTCTATTATAAGGAACTAGGTCATGGATTTGTAGAGGTCAGGAAGTCCCTTCATCCCTGGTTCGCAAGCTAGATGCCAGGGAGGTTTCTCAGAGGTGCCTTAATCTAAGAACCTGAGATTCAGGGGAATCCTTGGGGACCTTCCCTGGTCCAGGGCATGAGAGGATGTGAACTGTCCCAGCTCCACAGTGAGTTAGGAAAGGGGCAGATTACTCCCAGCCACCTTTGCTCTATTGAGGGCTACCATGGAAGAGGTGAGGCCTGAGACCTTGGAAGGACGTCTTCTGAGATTCAGACATAAGCCTCCTCTTATGGAAGGCTTTAGCCATTCCATAGTCATCATGCAGAATTAACCATCTCACAGGCTTAGTCTATAAAACGTGGAAAATACAGAAAAGAGGAGACTCAGTTACCCATAGTTCCCCACCCTTGCCACATGCACAGGTGAGTTCCTTGAACATGGGGCTATAAAAAAGTAAAGAATAATGAGAGAGAGAGAGAGAGAGAGAGAGAGAGAGAGAGAGAGAGAGAGAGGGTGTTCTCGCCCAGATGTTCCTTCTCTACTTGGGGACACTCCTCTCGGTTAATGTCCAATGTTTCAAGCACTTCGCCTCTGGCCGGGACCCAGCTGGGCACTGGGATAAATATTCTCCCCAGTATGTTACGAAGGCCAAGCTCACACCCAAACAACACCATGTAGTAGCTCAGTAAGGCCTTTGCTTCCTGCCCTCTTCCTCACATTTGGGACCAGGTCCCTTGATCTCCATGTTTGTTGCTTTGTCAGATACCGAGAGAAGCAACTTCAGACAGGAAGGGGTTGTTTGGGCTCAGAGTTGAGGGCACAGTCTCTCCTAGCAGGGGAACATGGCGCTGGGAGCATGAGACTGCTGGGCACATGGCACCCACAGTCCGAAGCAGAGAGAGATGGGTGCTGGTGCTCAGCTCAACTTCTTATTATTCAGTCCAGGACTCCATCCTGTGGGACGGTTCCACCCACATTCAGGATGGGTCTTCCCACCTCAGCTAGCCCAATCTAGAAACCCTTCAGAGACAGGCTTCCCTCTTAGGGGCTTCTAGATCCTGTCTAGTCGACAATGTCATTAATCATCAGTCTTGATGTATTCATTCTTGCATTTGTAAAATGGGCAAAATAAAAGCCTTTACTTACAGTGTGGTTAGAAACGGGAACTTGGTTCTTCTACGCTAAAATATTGATTACTTCTAGGGCCCATATATGGTTTGCAGAATTGGTGTGTGCAGGCCTTAGTATTCACCAGCAACCCCAAGTCTACTTTTTGTGGACTATTGATGATTTGAGTGTGTGCTGACACCCTGTGTTTGTCATCCTGCAGCCAGGAGGAGGAGGACGAGGAGGCCTCCTCACGGTACTATGTCCCCAGCTACGAGGAAGTGATGAACACAGGCTACTCGGAAACCAGAGGACAGGAGCAGAACCCCAGACTAAGTATCTCTCTCCCCTCCTATGAGTCACTGACGGGACTCGACGAGACGACCCCCACAAGTACCAGGGCGGAGACGGAGGCCAGTCCAGGGCATGCTCCCGACAGACAAAACTCCAAGCTGGCCAAACGCCTGAAACCACTGAAAGTTCGAAGGATTAAATCTGAAAAGCTTCACCTCAAAGACTTCAGGATCAACCTCCCAGAAAAGAACGTCCCTCCTCCTTCTATTGAGCCTTTAACTCCTCCACCTCAGTATGATGAAGTCCAGGCGAAGGCCCCTGATGCCCGGCCTCCCGACTGAATGACCCTTCTGACATCACTCCCTCCTGTCTCACCCTCCTCACCAACAGACTGCGCCGAAGCCACTTCAGCCAGAGAGGGGTCAGGACACACTTAGCCACTGTGATGGGGAATCTGGGGAGAGGGAGTTACTAAGGACGGTTCACAGAGCCCCACGTAGCGGGAGCACCAGGAGGATGCTGAGGGCTTGTGACACTGTGGACCACAACAAGGTGTGTGGCCTTGGCAATCCCCTCCACCTTCCTTCCCAACTCGGGATGGCTGGCGACACACTCCTTGTCTGAGATGGGATAGGATCCCTAGTGATCGGTGTAGACCGAGGTTGTCTCCTCCAAGCTTTCCACCACAGCTGCTGTGTTTCAAAAAGAAACCAAGTGTTTTGCTTGCTTTCTCCACTGGAGCCTTGAACAGGCGGGGACATCGGTTCAGCTTTGGCCCAAAGGATAACAGAACTGTCTTGTGAATACAATGAGATCATGTGGGGGTGAGTGGTGCGGGAGGCCCCTAGGGGCTCCTGGTGCTGTCGGTTCTTTGAGGGTCCAGGGCCTGATGACCTTCAGCGTGTGGCACGTGAGGTGGTTGTCTGAATCAGTTCACTGGTCTCCCGTGGCAAGCGAGAAAAAGCTGCTGTTCGTGTCTTCTTGGAGGTCATGCGGCTGGGTGTTTTATAATAAAGTGTTTTATATGTGTGTAGCACACCTGACCATCGAGTCATTTTAACGGAAAGATACCAATAATAACAGCTAGTCAACATGAATACTTAATTCACAGGGAGCTGTGCTCTGTGGACCAGAGGTGGTACCCCTATGTCACCTGTACCCAAGTCCGGTGCCCCGTTATTCTGCGGACTAGTTCCCTAGCTTCGGTCAACCCAGGCACCCCGTATTGTACTGCTAACAAGTAGTTCTGAGCTCAGACCATCTGGTTTCAGAATCTGAGTTCTTACTCTCCTAGTTGAGTACCTGAGGCTGCCCTGTCAACCCACAGGTCACATAGTAGGCACTGGTAGCTTCAAGCAGGCCCCCATCCCCTCCCCAGGCAACCCAGGAAGGAGCTCAGCCTGTCACCTACCTCCAGCACTGACTGGAGGTAGATACGTCCCGTAGGAGGACACACTGTCACCAGTGCAGTCCACACCACTGTGGAAAACCCCAGGGACCACACACTGTTAAGGAAGGGAACTGGAACTTTGGGGTCTTAGATCTTGGCCCTGGAGGAAAGCCTGGGAGAGACTTGAGTCCTAAGGATTCTTTCTGTTATGGGTGGCATGGAGTGACCTGTTGGGAGCCGCACGGGCACCTCGGTGTCCGAGGAAGAGAAAGTCTTTGGGCTCTGAATGTTTCACAGCAAGTTCCGGGAAGCTAGATGGGAAATCACAGGCTTGACCCCAAGCAAGATGGATGGTATTAAAAGGCATACATCAGTATGAAAGTCTGAGCTGGGGATGTAGGTCAGTCGGGAGTGAATTAGGTTCACATGCAGAAAGCCCTGGGTTCGATCCCCAGCAACACATAAACCAGGTTGGTAATGCACACCAGCAATCCCGGCACTCAGGAGCTGGAGGCAGGAGGATCAAGAATTCAGGGTCATTGTCTGTGAGTTCAAGGCTAGCCTGAGCTATGTGAGACCCTGTGTCAAAACACAGAATGTGTAAAAACAGAGTCTGTGCGTGTGCATTTGTGTGTATAAGAGAGAGAAAGAGACAGAGATAGAGAGAGATGGAGAGAGAAGAGGAGTTTTAGGGTTTTGTACTTTTCAATTTTTTAAAAAGAAAGAGGAAGAATAAAAAAGTAAAAGCAAAAGCAAAACCTCATTCTCTTTCATTTCTTCTTGAGACTTTTTTCCTTTGGATGCTAAGGATGTAATACATCACACACCACACCACCTCCTCTGCCGCCACCACCATCACCCCCACCTCCATCACCACGACCTCCCATCACCCCTACCACCACATCCACCACCACATCCACCACCCCCACCATCACATCCACCACCACCTCCACCACCACAATCATCTCACCTCCACCACCACCACACACATGCACATGCTGAACCCCGCCCCCAGCTGTCTTCCTGTCACATTTTTGTTCCTAAGGCAAATAGAAGAAGGCAGAGATCAGGGACAAAACTCAAGAAGTCACCCGGGTGTTCTTGGGCCTGCCTGGGCCCCGGACTGTGAAACAGCAGAGAGAATCTCATCTGAGGTGCATTAACAATCCAGCTGTGTCCCTGACCCATGACAGGAGGAAGCTCAGCAGTCCTGTGGGTGCCTCATGACCTTCATACTTTCAGGTTAACGCAAAAAGAACTTGGGAAGACCAACCAGAAGCTGGGCTGGGTAAGGTTCCTTCCCTCTAGGAATTTGGTCCCTGACTGTGAGCGGAAGATGGGAACCAAGTACCAACAACACACATGCGGTTGCTGCTCCAGGCTTTTTGACAGCAGGTGTGATGTGACCAGCTGACTGTTGTGACGGCCCCACCACTAAGTACTGTAACCTGAACTTCAAAGCACCTTCTGATGCTTATTCTTTAAAAAAAAAATCTGTACATGTGTGCATGCATGAATGTATGTTAACACATGAGTGTGTGTACGCATGTGTGCACATGCACACATGCATGTGGGGGCCGCATCACAGTGAACATGTGGAAATGAGAAGAGCAATGCAGGTACGAGTTCTCCTTCCGTGCTGGGTTGAAGGGTTTAAACTCAGATTGTCAGGCAGGCAGCAGGACACAGCATTTTTAATGGAGCTCCTGCGCCCCCACCCAGGGACAAGGACTGAGAGTCCTCAGCTCGTCAGAGGTGTCTCCTTCTGCACTCAGCTTCATTCTCTTTACACAGCAGCCTCCCCGATCCCCTCACCTTGGCCCTCAAGACAGTCGCCTAGACACCCTTCACCTCTGAGACCCCATCAACCATCACTCAGTCCATCTCGTGATGGAACGAGGGAGTCCATTGCTGTAAATGGTCCTCCGGCTCCCCACATGTCCATCATGGCAAGTGCATGTCTACGTACTAATAAAATAATAAATGAAAAGAACTCTTTTAAAAAGAAACTGCCATCCTTAGAGATCAGCCTGAGTGTGTCACTAAAAAAGAGCGTCTTTTCTTTAAGTAACTTTTATTAAGCCAATTTTCCTATTCCTCCCTCGTTCTAGACTTAAAGTCTAATTCCCCATGGCCTCATAGGAACATACTTCTGGTCCCTTTCTCCCCAGCCTGCCTTTAACAGAACTTTTCAAAGTTTTCATAACCTGGAATTTATTAACATTCTATAAAAAGGTATGGGAAAAAGATAACGGCCAGTGTGCCTACAAAGTCAAATACACTCTGGGAATTTTTAGACTATTTAGCAGCATGCTTGGAGTCAATGGGGAGCATGTAACAAAATTAAACGACCAGAGTAAAATTTTGGAAACATCATGGCGTGACTTTTCTGGGCTGTAAATCTTCTCCAGAAAAAGAAAGAAAGAAAACGTCAGATAAGACGGTATGGCTCCCGGAGATAAGCCTCAGTACTGTGGAGAATTCAGGAACTGTGTGCGACTTCAGAACCAGACAAATGTTCGTTCTTCATATCTGTCCTTGCAGTGTCCTATCTGAAGGTCCCCCGAGGCCTGTGCCCAGCCTAATAAAGTCACCAACATCTGTGACAAAAATAATATGCTGAAGGAACTTCTACTTCTTGAATAAAATCTGATAAGCCATGCAAATAGTGTTTGCATGGAAATGAGGGAGGATTTGACATAAGCTGGTACATAAAGACACCCGTGACATCCAATTTTCTGCCTCTTTCAAAATTAAATGAGAGAGCAAGAGCTGCATTTTATTTCTGATAAATTTCTTGTTTGTTATAAAAATCAGATCGCAAGTACTAGCACACAATCTATTTTGTTGGTGTGTTTTTAGGTCTGAGCACACCATGCAAGCCTTTGCAAAAGTATATCCATTTCAGCACCAGAGTCCACACAAAGGCAGCAGAGATAAGGTTGCAGAAATATGCTTCTTTCGGGAGATGCTGCAGGAGGAAGACAATCATTTTAATGACTAACAGTAACGCTGAGGTAGACAAGATGGCTCAGCAGGTAAATGTGATTGAAATGCAAGCCCGATGACTTGAGTTCCATCCCTGACTCCTGCACACTATCCTCTGACCTCCACACATGTGCTATAGCAAGCATGCACACACACGTGTGTGCATATTGAATAAATGCACGAACAGACTAAGAAAAAGTTTTAATAGTAATACGGGGGTGATGAGCCTCAGCGTGTGGAGGTGACCTGAGTTCAATTCCCGGTGTCTTAGTTCAGGTTTCTATTGCTGTGAGGAAACACCAAGACTAAAAAGCAAGTTGGGGAGGAAAGGGTTTACTTGGCTTACATTTCCACATCCATAGTCTGTCACTGAAGGAAGTCAGGACAGGAACTCAAACAGGACAGAAACTCATAGGCAGAAGCTGATACAGAAGCCGTGTAGGGGTGCTGCTTACTGGCTTGGTCCCCATGGCTTGCTCATCCTGCTTTCTTATAGAACCCAGGACTACCACTTCAGGGATGGCACTTCTCACAATGGGCTGGGCCCTCCTGTGTTGATCACTAATCAAGAAAATGCCCGACAGGCCCGATCTTATGGAGGCATTTTTTCCCCTCAATTGGAGTTCCCCCTATTAGATGAATTCAGCCTATGTCAAGTTGACATAGAATTAGCCAGCCCACCTGGCATGCACATAGGTTGTCCTCTGACTTCCACATGCAAGCTGTGGCATGTGCCTTCACCCATGCACACTGTGCACACACACACAATAATAAATGATTTTTAAAAGATAATGCTGTCAATTAAAAACATTCATTTCATCAATCAAAATGCCAAAAAACCAAAAAACCCCAACCCACAACAGCAACCACAAATTTTAAGGCTTGATTTTTATATTCATTTTCCAAGCTAAGAAAAACATTCTAGGTCTTAAAATGTTTCCATTTTCTGAAAGCAGTAAAAATTGTCCATCAATCTTTTCCTTACGCCAATAATAGAAAGGTCTCAAGAGGGCAAGTTAGAGCCAGAAATAGGACCAACGTAGAGGCTGGGGAATGGCAACGGCTACATTCCATAAATACGCTGAAGACAGGCTGTCCCGTGGGTCTACTTTATGGAGACTGGAATACTTAGATATGTACTTTCCCCACTCCGAGACGGGTCTCATATATCCCAGACTGGCCTTGAACTTGCTAAGTAGCTGAGAATGACCTTGAATTTCTGATCCACCTGCCTCCACTTCACGAGTGCTGGAGTTACAAACATGAAAATGTCGGGGATCAAACGCAGGTTTTGGTGCACGCTAGGTGAACACTCTTCCGTCTGAGTCACACCACCATGATCACACCCACCACCACCCCGCAGCAGATGAGAACATTTTTACACACCCTTTCACTGAGTAAACGTTAAACTCAATGAATACAATCTTCTCTCCACTGAGTGTTTCACACTGACCTTCTCACATTGGGGGATGGGTGACAATGATGTAAGGATGGCCAGAAGCATCCTCAGCCTCTACTCACGAGATGCCAAGAGCACCTTCTGGGTAGGCTGTTATTGTTGGAATCTGGTTGTCCTCAATGGTTTATGAAAAGGCGTGGTCACCAGCCTGCGGTACCAGTGGAAGATGGTGGATCCTTGAAAAAGCTGGAACTTAGCT